GGACATGGCCCCTTCAGCTTCCTGCCTCACCTGTTGAACATGGCCTTGGGCTTCCTGTTGAGAATGCTGTGCAGCTTGTTCAGCTAATGCTGTCTGAGCACGGGCTCGTTCGACTGCTTGCTGGGCTTGGTATGTCAGTTCCGTTGCCTGTTGTCTAAAGGTCTGCTCCCTTTGTTGCGCAACAGCGGCAACCTCCCCTAGCCTTTGGCGTGCCTCGTCCGCTGCTCGATGCTCGTGAAGGGCAACATTGGCAGCCTGATCAGCAATGAGCGAAGCTTGATGCGCACGTTGCAATGCCGATCCGGCCACGAATGCAGCGGCACTCATGTCCCTAGATGGGTCGGGCGTAGGCACTTGCGGGCTATATACAAGGGGGGTTGCAGTAGAGTCTGAATCAGGTTCCTCTACAATGGGAGTCCTACGGGGAGGAGTCGCGTTTCGGTCGCGGCTACGAACATCTCTTGATGAGGATGCCCTGGAACCTACGGGAACTACGGACATTGCGGGTACCGAAATATCACCGAGTTCAGGGTCTTCCTCATTAGATTCTCCCCCAGGGGTTGACCTTGACCTATCATCCGAAGGTGGGGAAATCCCTGATGCCATGTCGGATGCACCTTTCACACGAGGCCAAGGCTCACGTATCACAGGACTTTACTCAGCCCCCCTCAGGTGACACCCCTCAGGTGAAAAACACTTAAACATGTATTTGAGGACATTTGAGGGAACCAGTTTGAGCGAGGTGTCTCCTGGAAGGTTTTGAGCAAAAACCTGCAATTCAGAAAGTGCTCAGGAAGGAGTGGGTTGAAGACGTTGTGTCAAAATATCTCTTTTAGGGCTAGTTATGCTTCAGCCGGATCAACTAAAACACATCGCCAGGGAATTTGTGAGACATCTGGGGTTCCTTGCTTCTGCAAGGATAAGCACACAGTTTGCTGGAGCTGTCTGTGCCTGCTGGAGCTTTATCAGAACTCGGAACCCAACTGTTGGCAATGAACCTCGCAGCGGGAGAATGTGCGATTTGAACAGTTGCTTATTTGTTGCCACAGTTCATTGCTCCTCTGCTTGTTTTGATATGCCTTGTTAAGGCGCTTTAATCTTGTTGTTTTTGGTATTTGTGCTCTGTTTGGGCTTTTTTGAAGCATTTAAGCGCATTTGAGAGCATTTGAGAGCATTTGAGAGCATTTGAGTGCATTCGAGTGCATTTGAGTGCATTTGAGTGCATTCGGGTGCATTTGAGTGCATTTGAGTGCATTAAAGCTCCCTTCAGGGAGAAGTAATTCACGGCCATTCATTAAACACTTGAGTCAACGCGGTTCACCTTCCATAGGGATTGTGAATTGAAATGCTCATTTGGAACAAATAGTGTGATGATGATGATGATGTCCAAGTCTGGTAGATAAAAAAAGGCCTCAGTTGATTCTGTCAGCCAACATGCTTCAGTTGAAACCATGCAATTAGTAAAGACTTACCGAACATGGGGCGCACATCTTTGCACGCATCAACGGGACATGCCACAGCTTCCATTGGTCCGTGCTTTTGAGTGGGCTAGGCAATCGCACCCAAGAGTGGGTACAGGCAGGGTCGAGCAAACCAGCGCACATGTATCAGGGTTATTTGGGCCACAACCACAACGGCTTCAAACAGGCGTGATACGTTGACCAACATCGAGGCAGATCGAGAGTAGTTGAAAGCTTTTATACCCTCAAATGGCCTCAAACACCACACATTTGGAAAAGAACATTTAAGAACATTTAAGTTTCAAATGGACTTAAAAGGCCATAACAAGACTTAAAAAGCCCAAATAAGAGATAACAAGCCAAACTGAGAATTATGAAGTGCATTTGAGAAAGCGTTGTTTTGAAGATTGGCATTTAAGCTGGATTCACCTGAGGGGTGCCACCTGAGGGGGGCCGAGTAGGGTTCTGTGAACGTATGCTGACACACCGCGCTTCAAGCTGCGGCCCTTGAAACTTATAATACAACCGGTGTTGGAAACCGGTGCACTTGACCGGTGTTGGAAACCGGTGCCTTTGCTGCGCTTGAGCTGCAGCCTCCGGCAGTGCCAGGTCAGCGAAAAAGTCCGCGGCCGCCCCTTGCAGAGTGGGGGCGGTTACCAACTTCTTCAAGGTACTCTGTCTGGTCGAGTACTCTGGCAGGACGGAGGAGGCGTCGGTGTTGGTTGAGATACTCGTGGAGCTCGTCCAACGCCTCGTAGAGCGCCCGATTGGCGTCTCGCCGCTCGACACAAATGCCGAGTGCGCCTGCAATGCGGCACTCCCTCAGGGTGGCGTTGTTGTCGTCGATGATGACGCTCGCCCCCAGCTGCGCTAAAGCTGCAGCCTTGCCAGATGGACCAACCCGCTTCCAAGTGAGGACAACGTCTCCAAACGGAGGGGTGCCCAAACCGTCGATGGTGTCGTTGCACACGCGGGTGAACTGGGTGGCAAGCCGAAGGGTGCTCTCCCGTGTTTCACGGGCTTGACAGTAACTCACGATACGAAATTGGATAGGAAAATGGTTTCGGTACAGCTTTGCTATCGACCGCAATAACCAATCCTTTGGCGCACCGTCGGGCTCGATGGCAATATCGAGCGTGTTATGCCAGTCAAGGCAGGCGATGATCGGCTCCCTGGCGTCAGGCTGGGGTACGCCGAAATCGGGTGTTCCGTCACCGGAGGGTGCTGCTGCACTTGGGGGCTGCTTAACCGGCAATTTGGGTGCCGGGGCAGCCTTGAACCTCACCTGTGGTGGTGGTGAGGGTGGCGCCCGCTTGTAGGCTTTGGGCGGCGTCTCAGGCCGTTTTACCCCGCTAATCGATTTTGGAACCGACACTGCGCGTTGAGCTGCAGCCCTTGGCACTGGTGCTGGGGGTGCTGGTGGTGCTCTCAGCGGTGGTGGGGGTATGGCCTTTGACGCAGCGCGATCCGCAGCTGCCTGGTCAATTACGCTTTGTGGGGGCGCTTTGACCTTGGATTCCCGCTTGGTAAAAACTATCCGAGCGGTCTTTGTTGCAGGTGCTGTGGATGAGTCGCGCCCGGCAGGTGCAGGCCTCTTGATGCTGACCTGCTCAGCCTCGTACACCCTGTCCGGGTTGAAGGCCGCCAAGCCTGAGTAAACCTCACGCGCGGACCTTTCGGGCGGCGGTGAGGCACTCAGGTCAAAATGTTCGGCCCTCCCTTGTCCTCTGGGAGGGTTGGATGAGGACCCTGCCCTCGGCGGATGATGCCAATACGAGTCTGGGAGGTCGTACGGATCGTCGGAGGGTACTGGGTGTGGCGCCCGACGCGTGGGTCGTGAGCCTCCCTCGTATCGGTGCTGGAGGATCCAGATTCCCGTGCTGTCCACCCGAGTTGTCGGGTAGGCGCAGTTGGCCGGCGCCAAGATCAGCGGCCGGCTGCTCAGGGATGCACGGGCCGGAGGTGTTGGGGAGCTGTGGCTCCTGGTCCTCGACCTCGCTGCGCTTGGAGCTGCAGCCCTGAGGGGAGTTCTGGATCGTGGGCGTCGGGTTGACGCCTTCCGCACGGTGGAGGAGAAGGCTGCCTTGTCGGTGGCGTCCTCTTCCTCCTTGATGAGGACCTCCCTGCAGCAGTGTACCTTCCCCGGCCTGCTTTCACAGGCGGAAAGGATGACGGTCGGGACGGGCTCTCAGAGCTGGTTCTTGTGGGAACCGCTGCGCTTGGAGCTGCAGCCTGATCTCCCGGCCCTGCTGCTGCCTGTGTCGGAGCTGCGCTTGTAGCTGCAGCCTTGATTGTGGACACAGTTGTTGTGGAGGATGGACTTGATGGGGTGCTTGGTTGTTGCTGAGGCTGGGCTGGTACTGGAGCTAGAGGCTGCCCTGCCGCGCCTTGAGCTGCGGCCTGTGCCCGTTGTAGGATTGGGATCGGTTGGTGCCGGCCTCGGGCGATGACGGCGTCGTAGAGGTCGGGGTAGATGTCTCGCAGATGCCGATAAGCGTTATCGGAAAAATCTGCTTGCCACGCCAGGAGGGAGCTCCGGTGCAAATCCGATGCCTCCTCCCAGGCGACCCTTGCCACCCCAATCTTGAACTCCCGCCAGGCCCACCGGGTGAGCTCGTCGAAGGCCTCGTAATAGAGCTTGCGACGATGCGTCCACCCGCCCCTCTGACCACGGGCCGAGAAGGCCGGTGCCGGGTCCATGCACGAAGTGCGCTGACTACCGGACTGAGGGGGCCTAATCCCAAAAAGCAGTTACGGCTGATAACCACTCAACAGGGAAAGAAACACAGCGAACCAGAAACCGGGACCCTTATTAACCCCAGTCCGGTAGGCGAGCGCAAACCCTGGTTTTGATCTTATGGGCATCTTGAGCCAAATGGTCATTGCCATTCGACATGTCACTTGAAACACATGCAGTCAATGGGGCCTCTAACATCACATGCATGCACACCCTTCTGGGGTACCTCTTTGGGGGTCAAGGGGTCGTGATTATTCAACTATTCTTCATATGTCCGTGCCTGGCTTGCCCGGGCTGTTTCGTTTTGGCATCATGCCAACTGGATGTGTTTCCAGCGCCAGCCATCATGCTTGAAATCACTTTGTTCAGAAAACAACTTGCCTACATAGTATGCATGCACACACACATAAGTACACATGCTCGAAACGATTCCATAGCTGACAATGGACCTTTCAAAGGTGATTGAGTCAGTTCCACCAAGTTTTCGATAAACTCGTAGCTCATCCGAAACGATTACGATTTGGCGCTGATTAAACAGCTGGCGCTAGACTTGGATAGGGCTCAGCGTTCAAGATTCGAAACTGTTCGGATCCTGCAGCCAGCTGTGCTCCCAATGAACCACGTGATATCTGGAGAGTCAACGTCAGGAACGCATTGGGAGGCGTTGCTTTTCGTTCGATGACACGTTCAGGAAAAAAAACATGAGCTGCAAGAAATGGTGGAACTGGTACAAGCAATCAACCCAAGAAAAACGGGATTTAACCAAACACACTAAGCGAGGACATTCGATGCAGTCTTGGAGCCTGACAAATCACGCTCAGCATCTAGATTCAGCAAACCTTGCACGTTCATGAGGCACTCCACTGTGCCTCAGTGCAGAATCGATTCATCGACCCATCTAACTCTCAGGCTTGGTCAAAAATCATGTGACTCAATGGGCATTCCCTTGAAGCCCAAAATGGTTTTCCAAACTCCTGGGGTCAAACGACCAACTGTGACCTGGGATATCCAAAAGTGATTTGCCCCCCCCCACGCCCCCCGCCCCCACGCCCCCCGAAGGGTGTACTGTGGATGGACAAAGTCCATGCCGCACCACCTTAAAAATACCGGATGATTCCGCTGTGAATACCAACAAACGTCATAGTTTCTTGCCGATGGTTTCACTTCTGGATGCCCAGCAGCGATATCGATTCCCTTTAAAACCCACTTGAGCGAAAATGGAAAACACTCATATCCTTCTCAGAAAATGGACTGAAGTCCAAAGTGTGAACCCTACTCTACTCAGTAGGACACAATTCATTTCGCATCACCTAAGAGCCCCTCGTTTCTGATGATTTCCCGGAAAATACCAATGGTTTCAGCTCGTGGTGCGAATGTTTTGGACTTGGCAGCCGTCCTACTGTGGACGGACGAACTCCTGCACCACTTTGAAACCATAGAAAACCAAGACATTAGTTGGACTTTTGCAGAGGAATTCGAATCATACCAGGGTGTCTGATTTCGGTGGTGCGAGAAGCGGATTAGGTCCATGCAAAGTATCAAGCGTCTCTGAACCCAAAAAATCGCATCGGTCCAAGGGGCTTCTCCTCCTCTGCGCCAGGGAGGCACGGGCTCTTGCCGCATGCCCCGCCTCCTCGTTGTGCGGCACCACCTGGTCGAAGAGCGAAGGCTGACCTGGCCAAGGCCCCGTAGAGGGCTTTAGGCTTTTGGGTGCTTTTTCAATGAGAGAGGGTTGCAGTCTTGTAAAACTGCATTTGTTTGCTTGGAGGGCTTTTGGGTGGTGACTTGTAGCCGAAAGCATCGGGCAGGTATATGGGTGTGTCCTTTTTGTGGGTACATTTTGGGGGTCTGGTCATGTGTTCGTTCCGAAAGGGTTGCATTCTTATAAAAATGCAACCCTTTTAAAATAGGGGGCGGGATTGGAGCAGCCATTTCAAAGTATAGTATTGGGGATCGGCAAAGTCTCACAAAATGAGGGTGATTGTGGGGGCAACTTTCGCCAAATGGCTCCCTGGATTCCAGGAAGCGCTTTTTGTACCACATGCTGTAGCTTGATGCAACTTGAAGCTAGGGATCTATGCCATTAGGGCCGCTCTGAAATCCAAAGTTATTTTCTGGGGGGCGCTTTGGCGTCGAGTCCTACCAATGTTCCACCCATTCTGTATGGAAAATACATACAGGCGTCTCAAAATAGGGACCCGACAAATGGGTGGTGTTCCGATCGGTTTCCTTTTAAAAACCAACCCCGTTTGGGGTCCCCTCAAAAAAGACGCACCCGCAGAAGCCCCACAACAGCAAACCCCTTTTGCAGGCCTCTCCATAAGAACCCAAATAGCCAGACCCTGACAAAAAGGCGTAATGCCCCACCCCCTCAACAGCATGGCCAGAGAAAACCAAGAGACAAATTACAAGAGACATGTAGACAGACCCTACAAAACAATGGAGGAACAAAAACACGCTGAACCAATATTTTGTACTTTAGGGCCAACACATGGGTCTACAAAAAGGGCTTTCTACAAATTGGGGTGATCCGACCTGAGCAGTGACCCCCTACTCACCCATTTCACAGATGCCAGGATGGACAATATAGACAGACATGCTTGCACATGCGTTTGAAGTTTGATCAGGTGCCTTTTGATGGTTCATGACCCACATGCAACCTGCGCAAGACCCGCCGTGTAACTTTATCTTTGCAGATTGATAGCTGCTTTAACAGCTCCAACAGGGCGTGTCACTTTGCAGATGCCTATGCCCCACTCGGCCTTGTGCAGAAGACTTCTCGCCCTCCGGGTCGCTCTTCTTGTCGGTTATCGCGGAGCTAAAGGAGTCCTCCCTCCTGGGGCAGAATTCTAAGGGCAGCTTAGGAGAGGGATGTGGACCGGGCCACGAAGACCGTTTGTTGAGCAAAAAACCACGGGCACTTCTGCTGCGGTGATTCTAGGGGACACTTCCCGAATTCTAACTCAGTTGTTCAGTGACCCTGGGAAAAAAAAGGGAACCCTTTGGCTCGTGACGCACGAATGTCTGTCGTGCGTGGGTCGTAGGGCATGCCGCCCTACTACCGGTGAAAAGTGGGGCAGGAGCCCCGCACACAGACCCCCAGGAGAGACTCAACTGGGGGTGTGAAACCGCAGGCCAACCACCAGTGGAAAGGGGGCGGGACCCCCTGTCCACTGGTGGACACATCTCAAAGTCGAGGCCCGGCCCACCAGCCACCCCCGGAAGGGGTGCCTGGGGAGCGGGGCGTGCACAAAGTTCCGGAAAAGCTGACATGTAGGCCAGGGTCACGAAGAAGCCCCAGCACGCGAAGCCTAGGGCAAGAAGGCCCCATCACGCAACAGCGCCCAGCGAGAATTCCCAGTCTCTGGGTACGCTGCCGAGGCGGAGTAGGACCCGCTGAAGCCACTTGTGCTCCGCATCGGTGCGCTGGAGGTAGACGTCCGGCCAAGCGCCACGCGGCCAGGTTAGCGGCCCAGCCGCGGCTCCCAACCGCGGGGGAAGGCATCCGGGTTGCGCCGGGTGATGCACTTCCTCACGGCCTTGAAGTGCACCAAGAGGCCACGGGCAGTGGCCGCACCGCCAGCATACCTGACAATGCCAGGGCTGCAGCCTCCAAACCAGGCTGGAAGTCCCCACCGCGAGCCATCCACATAGCTGCAGCACAGGCAAGCCACGGCTCAGTCTCTACACCTAACCCTAGGGCAACGGGGGCCTCAGAAAGGGGCACCACGGGATCAAGGGGCTCCGGGGGCGGAGGAGGAACAGGGGTGGCCGCCAAGGCAAGGAAAAGCTGCTGGAGCCAGCGATGGCGCCTGTAGGCAGAGAAGAACAGGGCAGACATGCGAGAGACAGGCAGGGCAAGGGAAGCGCGGGCAGCGCGCTTAGCAGCACGGTCAGCCGCATGATTACAACGCGCATGCAGGAGCTCAACCGAGCCAGGGCGCTGGTTGAGAGGCAGATGGCCCCGTATCCAGTGGAGGGTCAGAGTAAACGATGGACAACCAAAGGTCAGCCGCTGCAGCATTGGGAGGGACACACCCCCTCAAGTGAAAACCATGCCAAGCGATGACGGCGGCTTGGGAGTCGGTGTGAACCGTGAGCCGACCGCGAGCAAGCTGGGCGGCATGCAGGATAGCGTAGACCTCAGCACGGTAGTTGTCCGCCAGGGGGCCCGGAACGGGTCCGGAAGCACACACACCAGCAGAGGCACTCACAACAGCAAAGCCGGCAGCAGCAAAGAGCAAGTGGTGGCAAGTAGACACTGCCATCAGTCCACAGGTGGACATCCCCACCACCATACCTGGGTAGGGTGGTAGAAGGCCAGGGCACGGCCCGAAACGCGGCATGAGCAAGGTCCGCATTTCAGCCAGGGCATGAGTGTAGAAAGAAGGGCCCTGGTCCTCACGCTGGGCAGGTGGCGAGCCGATGCGAGCGTGGAGAGCACCGCACTGCACAAGGTGTGCCAGCGTCTCATCAGCACCATCACAGAAGCGACAGCCAGGAGATGCAGCCAGGTTGGAGGCGTATAGCCGATCAGCAGTGGCTGCAGAGCCGACAACCACAGCAGGGGCCACCGCACGGTTGGAAGGGAAAGCACGGACAAAGGAGCTCCAACCTGGGCCAGGCGGGACAAGCCACGGAGATCGAGTGAGCGCACGGCCCCGAGACGATATCTGCACGCTTGCCACGGCAGGCACGCTGGTAAGCATGCTGCGCAATGGTCCACTGCAGAAGCCTTGCCAGGGAGCGAAGGGAGACACTGAAGAGGGACATCCATGGTCCCGAAGCAAGGGCAACATCTGCAGGAAGCGCAAGCCGCACAGAGTGACTGCGGCAATCACATTGGAAACCAGCGTGGAAGGCATAATCCTGGGATTGGCGATGCGCCACTGGATGGCGAACTTCTCCGAGCGCTGGAGGTGGGAGGCCACATTGAGTACGGCGCGGTACGCCATGGCGTACTCAGGGTGTACCAGATGACCCCGATGGACGACCGCAAGGAGCAACTCACAGGAACGCCAGCCAGGCCGACCATCCCACAGGACCCCAGCGACCTCAGTGGCCAAGGAGGACAGGAGCCCACGGGGGACAAAATTGAGTTCCGCAGAGTAGGTAAGCATGGGCATGGCCTTGCGAGCAACAAAGGTGGCTTTGGCAAAGGGGGAGAGGGGCAACACCCGGATGGCCCTGAGGGCAGCCCGGAACCGAGCAACTGCAGGAGCCCGGGCATCCTTAGTGCCACGCAAGTCCAAGTTGATGCACACGCCGAGTGGCCGCAGAGAGCGCAGGCGCGGTGCACCGGGGAGGGCAGCCTGGAGCTGCGAAGCCGGTGACTCATGAGTAGTCCACCATCCAGACTTGTGGAGGTTGAAAAGCTGGCCCGAGAGGCCGTCAAATAGGGACGTAGCCCGGACGGCCTCCACCAGGGACGGGATGGCATCAGGCAATAACACAGACATGTAGCCGTCATCAACATAAACTCGGGGTTCAACCCCCGGGAAGTGCCTGATGAGAAGGGCCCAAGCCGCCATCAAGACGTTCGCAGCCAGGACCGAGAGAGAGCAGCCCTGAGCGATGCCATTGCAGTTGGCCAAGGGAGTAGGGTGGATGGCTCCCCGCCAGGAGAGATAGCGCCTGAAGTCGCAGTAGTTGGAGCGCCACGCATTGGCCACAGAGGCTGGGAAGCCCAAGGCCACAAGGAGAGCAACAGTGTGGCTGGGGAGCAGGCGGTCGAAGCACTTGGAGCGGTCGATCTGGATGCCTGCAAAGACCTCATTGGTCGCCTTGGCCTCATGAAGGTCAAGTGCAAGGTGGTGGGTGATGTCATCCACCCGGCGACCACTGACACCGCCACAGACTTCAGGGGGGAGCACAAGACGTTGCCACGCAGAGGAAGCACGGAACCTAGCCGAGGACCATGCAAGGGGCGTTTGGATAGGGGGCTGGGGCCCGCTCCTTTGTCAAGCACCGCCAGTCTGGCCGTGCCAAAGATACGGGGCATAGCCCACAAACCCGCCTCAACCTTATTGAAAAGCGTGGCAAGGACCTGCAGCACCCGAAGCGGGAGAGCCTGGAGCTCCTGCGCGGACCAACCGTCAAGGCCAGCAGAGGAGTCCACACTCCGAGCACAGATGGAGCGAGCCAGATCCTCCGGCGTGACTGCCGGAAGGTCAAGGGGCGTAGCCCGTTGCTCGAGCAGGTGTTGAATAGGCCTCATGAGCGGCTCGACCGGAATACCATCAGCGTGGACAGCAAAGACAGTGTTCCACTGCTGGGCGGCATGCTCAAGTGCATCCGCAGGATGGTAGGCAGGCAGGCCATCCTGCCCAGCAAGGAGATTGGGGGAGGACGTGGTTGCCGCCCTGGCGAGGTGTTGGAACACAGCCTTCCCAGTATGCAGGGCGGAGTGCCGGAGGCGCTCCTTCCACCTGTGGTAGGAGGCGCGCTGCCTTTGACGAGTGACTGCCTGGAGGCGGCACTCAATTCTCTCACAGAGGTGGGCAGTGCCGCCAGGTGTGAGATCCTCAGATTTTAGAGGAAATCGAAGGTCGCGCGCAAGCCGGCGGAACCGCCGGATGGTGGCACACGTGACAGCCGCATCAGGCACAGTGGTGACCGGCAGACGAGCCAGGCGGTAAAAGAGCTCCCGCGCAAGGGACAGGAGACGTGTGTGAAGAGTGATGGGGTGCGAAGGGGGCAGGGCCGACACGGGGGAGCGCTTGGGCCGGACAGGGGGTAGGGTTCCACGGGTGCGGATCCCCTTGCCCCACTTGGCCCCAGAGTCAACCAGCACACGTAACGCAGAGAAAAGGGCCCAGGCCTGCTCCGAGCTGCTGGCCTCAGTAAGATCGTGACTGTAGCTGTGCTGCCACAGATCCTCCGCGCATTGAGCTATCTGGGCAGGAGAGGCCAGGGCGGTCAAGCCCAAAGGGGCAAAGGACGCAAAGGCGACAGCACGTGGGGTCTCAGTGGGAGCAGAGAAAGTAAGAGAGACCGAGGCGTGCTGGTAGCCACAGAGCGGAGTAACGCAGGCCTGCTCCAAGAGATGGAGGTAGTTAACCCTGGGGACCAAGGCTCGGTTGGCCTCACAGAAACGGGGGTCATCCTGCAGGAGGGCCCGACGGGCAACCGCAAGGTGAGCGTTGAGGATGCGCGCAACCAGGCCACGCTTCAAAGGGGCAAGGCCAGCGAAGCCCTCAAGGGCGCGGGTGACCGCCAGTGCAGAGCGAGTACCATCAGGGGTGAGCGGCCAGAACCTGTGCACAATGGAATGATCAAGGGGGTCGTTGCCTCGTGCCAGGAAATCACGGACAAAGTGAGAGCTGGTGCCGGAGAGCCTCAGACATGCAAGTCGAAGCCGGAGTGGGACTTTCAGGCTGATCTGAAAGACTCGGCCGAGACCATGCGGAGAGCCCTGCAGGATTCTGAGGGCGTAGCAGGACTGCAACGCACCCTCAGGGAGAAAACCTTCGAGCAGGCCGCGAAGGTCCGACATAGAGCGCCCGACGTAAGCCGGGAAGTCGGCGGCAAGTTTCTCGAAGACCTCCACAACAAGCTCAACAAAATCATCAGTGTCGATGATGACCGCCAGCAGTGACAGGCCGGTAGACGATGCCAGGAATGAGATGGACAAGCAGGACCTGGCGCTTGTAAGTGGTCCCGGCCTGAGCATCCAGAACACTGATTTGCATGGGCCCTTCGACCGCAAGGTGGGAAGGCAGGGAAGGCAGAGTGGTAGTGTCCTCGCTGAAAGCCTTCGCTTGCAGGTTGTTGGCCCCACTGCCCTTATCGTTCCTGGCAATTCTAGAACCAGCGGTCCGAGTTGGTTTCGGGGGACCAGAGCTGGGACATATCATCTCCAACGAGCCCAAAGGCATGGGAGGGGGGGGGCAAAAGGTCCTCCATTTGGCATGGGGTCGGGGTTCCTGACAAGTGGAGAACCGCATAGATAGGGCAGGGAGGCCCGGGGGAGAGGCCCACGGGTCGCATCGAGCCAGAGGGTTCTCAGGGACCATCTCTTCATCCTCAGAAGGGGGCTCAGAAAGCGCAGGAGAGCGTGACGTCCTGCCAGCGGCTGACCGTGTCGGGGACGCCACGTCCGGGATGTAGGGTCGCACATGCATGAGAAGGCGGTCAGGCAGGGGGAGTGTCCAAATGACTTGCCGAAGAGTGACGTGTTGTGGGACACTCCTTAGAGTGTTCCCTCCGCAGTGGGTCGTGGAAATGGACCGTGACCTGGGGAGGGAACATTGGAACCGGAGTAGGCTGTGGTTCCAACTCCTCAGGCTCCTGTGCCGGGACCACGGTGAGGATGTGACCCGTGAGGTCATGGGCAGGCTCGCGAAGATCCCAGACTCTGGCAAAGGAAGAGAGAGCAACATGAGGGAAGACCACAGGTGGCACGCGAGCAGTGAAAAGGACAAGAGACAGCGACAGTCCTCCCGGACCACAATGGGCGGACCCTGGAGGTTAGCCCTTTGAGCAACCTGTGGATGGAGGGCGAAGTCCAGCAGGGAACCGATGTAGCACCAACCCCCTCAAGGGCCAGCACAAGGGGTTCGGGCTCATGCGGCACGAGCCCAAAAAGGCTCAACATGATGGCCCAAGGGATGGCAGCTTGAGGGACCGAAATAGAGTTGCCAAGACCAGCAAACACATCCTCCAAGGGTGGGAGGAGTACAAGGGGGCGAGTGGCACCCAGCCATAATGCCCATTGGGCAGGTGAGAGGAAGGCAGGCCGCTCATCAAGGTAAGTGAGCTGGGCAAACAGCCCTCGGTCGGCAAGTGTGTCCGCGGCCAGCAGATGCTGTTGGCTGTACCTGGCACAAAGGGTACGCAGAGGAGCGTCGGGAGGAATGCGACACATCACGCGAGCTCTCAAGTCCCGCCCGTGCAAGGTATGCAGGATTGGTGTAGTACGGACGAGTGCAGGGACCGAAAACAGCATGGTTATGGAGCATGGTGGTATGCACAGTGAATCCACCCATCGGATGAAGGCCAGGATGATGGGGTAGTGAGGGTGAACAGAGCGGCACGCCGGGCCCACAACATGGTCTCCAGGAAGCAGACACCTGCGCGGACCTCCAGACCATCCAGTGAGGAGGCACGAGACCAAGGGGGACACGGAGGAGAGGCAGTGGCCACGTGGCATCCAGTCCAGGGGACAACATGGAGGAGCGACGTGTCACCAACGTCGGCCAGGACCGCCACACGCGCAGGGGTGGGAACCCAGCTAGACATCCGCTGCAACTGCACAGCCTCAATGTCCAAGGTGGCCGCCTGGGCAGAAACCACGATCGGGGAGTTGTCCACCAGAACCTCATCAAGACCAAGGGACCTGCAAATGCATTCCAGGGCCTGACCCCAACCATGGAAGGCGCTAGCAAAGAGATGGGTGACCGATCAGCCGGCACAGGGTCCCCGATCCTCCATACAGCCGTATCCTCCTCAACCCGTGCCACACGGGGGAGGGTGCCAGGTTGAAGGGTGACCCCAAAGGCACGAAAGTGCTGCTCACCCGGCTGCAGCAGTGCCTGAAAGAAGCAAGGAGCCCGGAGCTCAAACGTGAAGAGAAGGCGCCGAGCACGTGGGGTAGCATGCAAATCAGGCGGCAGGCCGGGAGAGAAGAGGGAACACTCTCAGGTGGAATCGCCAGTTTGGGCATCGACCCGGAACTGAATCAGGGCCTGCCCATGCCACATGAGAGGCTCGGCACTCTGGAAGAAGGTGCCCTGCTCGATCAGGCCATCGAGGGAGCCAAGGGCGCGGTCCGACAAGGAGCCCAGAGCACGCAAGACAAGAGGGTCACGCGTCAACATGGCAAGGAGCCAACAGCCACACCGCAAAAGCCCAAGCACGCACAAGAGCCAGGAAGGCAAAGGGCAGGGGCAGCGGGGTGGCGGCCACAGGAGCAAAGGCGGGGCGGCGGAGATGGGTATCCACCTTAGTAGACGCGTGACGCTCCAGGGAGGAGTCGCCACGCCCCGGGTGCCCAGAACCCTGAGGCGAAAGACCTTGGAGCCAGACGCCTAAAAGGGAACCCTTTTTGGGGAAGACCATTTTTAGTGGGGCCACCAAAAACAGACAAAAAAAGGGTGCCACTGAACAACTGAGCTAAGGGTGGCTTCCAATCCCATTCTGAACCCAGGCATCCTTCTTTCTAGAAAGCCACCAACAACCCTGGGCAAACAGATCCGGTGTTTGAAAAGAACGATAGTTGAAAAGAATGGTTGGAATCAACCCCTGGAAGAATACGGTCTTTCCCAACAGCCGCCAAGGGGGCAAATTCTGCCAGCGAAGACATGCACCAGCCAAGGTGGCCAAAACTAGTCGACAGCTGTAGCACGGAAACATGCCTAGGTTACACCAAAACCACGAAAACGGTCACTGCTCCTCATGCTCGCTATGCTGGATACGTGGACCACAGGCGAATTTGCAATTCGGCCAGGTGCGGGAATGGAAGGCTTTCCAGCAAGAGCGAGTGGATGGGGATTGGCAGGCCGCTCTGCAACATCGTTGACCTCGGCGCGAAGCTAAAACCAGGAGGTTCCAAGCATGGCGGTGAATGCGGGCTATGGGGAGGGGGGTGAACTTCATCCATGAACCCTTCAAGCCATGTGAAGGTTATCCGGGGATGGCCCCGCTGCTATACCGCTATACAGGCCGTTGCGGCGGTCCTGGTGACCATCAAAAGCAAAGCCTTTTGGGGGTTGACCATCCTTAAGGGGGGAACTTCCTGGGAAAAAGAAACAAAAACAAACACGCCACGCAAGGGTTCATCCCGGGAAGGCGGAGGTTGTCTTAGTTTACCTTTAAACCCACATCGAAAAGGGTAGCACACCTCAACGAAAAAGAATACACCCACACAAACTTTCTGGTGCTCAGTAGGGAAGGAGGGAATGAACCCAAGAAAAACCATCCAACTGGTGGATTTCTTTAAGGAAATCCCCTGGGTTCATTCCCAAAACCCTGGGTCATTCCCTACTGCACCAACCAGAAAAAGGCTGCGGGTTTCCTCTTGATTTCCCTTCAAAATCACCCCAAGGGTGCCGACATCAAAAAAAAGATCGCACCGATCGCGAGCAAAAGATGTTGCCAACCGAAACTGTGGCGGCGTAGCATTCCGCGAGCTTCCGGTGCAGCTCCCAGAAAGTCTCTCCTGACCAATCAAGAGCTGCCAAATCAGTCTGCCCACCACTCGCTTCCGAAGCGAGTGGATGGCCCCAAAAAATTTGTCTGAACTGTTCATTTGCCACTAAAAGGGTCTGCTCAAAAAAGTAACAAGTCCAGGAACTCACAAACCATGTAAAGCACCAAAAGGGCGGATATCCGAATCGATCTACGTCGAATGTCCCTAACCCTCTGCCCAGGTTTTGAGTGCGGCAACTCATGAAAGTTGTCACAAATATGGCCCCGCTTGGTGCCGCCTTTTGAAGGGAATACGAAAACGACATACTGCTTGGGCACGAGCAATCTAATGAATTGTTTGGAAACACCGCTTCCCACACGGCAATTCAACAGCTTCGGCAAGCATGGGCCAAGAACGGAACAATGTGTAGCATTTAGTGATGTATGCATGTTGGTACGTTGGTACGCATGTCTGTATGATTGCATGCATGAGTGTGTGCATGTATGAATGTATGATATGTGGATTATGTACGTACGGCCTTCTGCCACTGTGGCGCGGCGCGCAGTTTCAAAGAATAATGTCCGCACCTGTACATACTTGATTGAGAAGCAAACAACACAACAGTCATGTATGTAAGTATGTATATATGTATGTGCGTATGTATGTAGGTATGTATGTATGTATGTATGTGCATGCATGCATGTATGTATGTATGTATGTGTCTGGCTGTCTGTCTATCTATCTGTTATGTTCAGTTCTGTTCTGTTCTGTTCGGTTTCATTTTCTTTTCTTTTCTGTCTGTCTGTCTGTCTGTCTGTCTGTCTGCATGCATGCATGTGCGTGCGTGCGTGCGTGCGTGCGTGCGTGCGGGGCGTGCGTGCGTGGCGCGGCGCGGCGCGGCGCGGCGTGGCGTGGCGTGGCGTGGCGTGGCGTGGCGTGGCGTGGCGTGGCGTGGCGTGGCGTGGCGTGGCGTGGCGTGGCGTGGCGTGGCGTGGCGTGGCGTGGCGTGGCGTGGCGTGGCGTGGCGTGGCGTGGCGTGGCGTGGCGTGCGTGCGTGCGTGCGTGCGTGCGTGCGTGCGTGCGTGCGTGCGTGCGTGCGTGCGTGCCGTGCGTGGTGCGTGCCGTGCGTGCGTGCCGTGCGTGGCGTGGTGCGTGGCGTGGTGCGTGGCGTGGTGTGCGTGCGTGCGTGCGTGCGTGCGTGCGTGCGTGCGTGCGTGCGTGCGTGCGTGCGTGCGTGCGTGCGTGCGTGCGTGCGTGCGTGCGTGCGTGCGTGCGTGCGTGCGTGCGTGTGTGTGTGTGTGTGTATGTCTGTGTGTATGTGTGTAGGTATGTAGGTGTGTAGGTGTGTGTGTGTGTGTATGTATGTATGTATGTATGTACGTACGTACGTATGTATGTATGCAGTATGCGCGCGTAGCGTATGTATGCATACTGTATGTGCATGTATGTGTGTAATGGAGTTTGACGTGATGTGATGTAATATGATGCAGGCAATGTATGTCTAATTGCATGTATGCTTGCCTGTATGCATTGTGCATGCATGTGTGACTCTTACAAACATCTTGGTACCAGACAGAAGCGAGCCTGAATACTTTGTCTGCCTATGAAGTATGTTTGGGGCATTCAGGCAAGCCAAGGAAGCCAAGTCTCTTCTGTCCACCATAGCTGTTCCGGGCGCATACGCTGGGCAAACCGGGCTTGAAAATTGAGGCTGAAACATCAGCTCAGGCATGTGAGACATCAACCAGGGTAAAGGAGGCTAGCCGAAGTAAACAAGAAAAACAAATGGAGCACCAGTATTTCGGGCTCGGACGAACGGAAACAAACATGGAGCACGTGCATTTCTGGTCAGGACTGTGCCCCTAACCTTCGTCTAGCCAGTTCCTGACTTTCGCATCAAGTGCAACACAACAGGATGCAGCGCTACAGTGAATTAGCTGACTTTCACAGGTGGACTTTCAATCAAAGCGCAACAGGGCTCTGTCCTCTGATGGTAAAACCAAGTGATTTCACCCAGGGAAAGCATTCAAACTCCTGAGACACGCAGCTGATTGTGAGCTCCTGCTGGCAGGGTTTTGTGGATCAGCCATAGACAATATGCCGGAATTCACAGTTTATTGAGGCCTTTCATCTGTGTTGGAAAACTCACTGCCGTCCAATGCTGGCTGCAAAGCGCAAAAGGCAAAAACGAAATGCATTTCGCAACAAATGGGTGTGTCTCTTGTCGCGAGGACTCCCTTGTTGGTTGGTTTCAAAGGGAACCTGAAAAACTGCCAGGCTTTTTTTGGGGGGTCCATGTGCTTTTGAAACAAAATCAGATCCGGCGCGCAAGCGCACGATGTGCTCGATTTTCACCTTGAGTCTGGAGTCCGTGCTCGTCTAAAAGGGCAGCCAGTATTTTAAGCAACCAAAGGGCAGAGTTGATCTGTCCTTTGGTTTGCTGGCCCCGTCTTTGTACATACCAAAGCATGTATGACTTTTGCAGTTGCCAGTTAGATACTACTTAATTTAGCATGTCAGCCTTCATCTCACACGAATAGATCCAACGCTATCATCAGCGTGTTTAGTCAAATCAACAAACACTGCACCGATGCTTGCGCCTTTTCAGCAGGAATGCAGTAAGCTCGTTCACTACGTCTTGCCCATTCAAAAGAACAAGAACGTGTTCAAACTTTAGATCCTAATGAAATGTCTCGCTAGCTATTGCTCTTCCTCATCGGACCTCAGTGAACGCCATCTCCTCTCAAGCCAGCAAGTCTCGAACTGGGGGGGCTCCAAAAATGGCACAGTGTTCACCCCACCCCACCCCGCGGAGCAAAAAAATCCCCCCTACTTTGACGACCCACTTCCAATCACTTCCACCAACGTCCCGACCCGTGTCGGGAAGTTCTCGAAAAGAAAAACCTCGGGGGCCTTCTGAGCGCCACGCACCAACTTCTCCCGGAAGTCTGCGAGCCATTCCTCCTCTGGCCTGCCGAAGGCCACCCAACGCGCGCGCGCGACCAAAACGCCCCGAACGCCGAGCGGGCTCCAACATGGGTTGGCCATGAGTCAAGATCCAAATCGTATTGCCAGTGAACATCCCAACCACTAACACAGGTTCTAAAATGGGTGGCGCATTCACCTACCAACCAAAATGGGGTCCCAAAACGGTTTTGACAACCACGGCCATATGGGTATGGAAGTTCACCAACTCTGGGGCCTCTTCCCGGGTGGTCAAAGATAAGCCAACGAGAATAGGACCGCAGGCTGCGTTTTTTTACCCACACCCTTGGTTTGACTTGCTAATTTCCAGGAACCACTTGTCTGGTCGGTTTTGGGGTGTGGGCGCAACTGAAAACATCTCTTGCGCAATCTTTTGCAAACATCCCCCCACTCGAGCCCCCGCAAACAAACTGCGGTCCGTCAGTGTGCTAAAGATTTTGTTGAAGTATCCGCGCCCCAGCGCACAAACACAAACAGCCGTCTTCCGAGGTATCGTTGCGGGTAGATGCGCTTGCCTGAGCCTGAAAAATGCATCTGGGCCCGGCCATGACCTTTAAAACACATTCTTTGCTTGTCAAGGTCCCTTACAGCGCAACTGGGCAGCGCTTCGCGGGTGTTGTTGTGGGTAGATGCGTGTTCCCGAGCCCGAATAAAGGATCTGGGCCCGGCCAGCGACTGGGCAGCACTACGGGAGGCGCACAGGAAGACTGTGGGAACACTATGCGAAAAACTATGGGCAGACTACAGGAAGACTCGGGAAGACTACGGGCTTGCCGTTGTTAGACGGCGCGCGAGCGTTGTTGCGCTGCACAGCATCGAAGCAACACACGGGGCATGTGGCAAAACGGTTCCTTCTGGAGAGTTGTGGAGGTCGATTTCCTTCACAGCCAAGCTTTCTGCAACCTCAGTCTGCCCAGCCAATCCAAGGCCAGGGACGCCTGTATCTGCGGGTTGGGTCCTCTGGCTTCCGTGCGGCGGGTGTAGTTCCCAGGGTAGGCAATGACTTGCAGCATGTCAGAACCTTCAGCTCCCGGGATCTCCACACCGCCGACTCCCCTCCAAGCACGCCAAGCAGAGAATATGCCAAAGTCCACCACCTTCCGGGCCCTGAGACTGCCCGAGTCTCTTTCTGCGGCTGCCTTTTTCGCGAAAAAAAGGCCGGCCTCGAGCTTCGGCCGTGCCTGCAGGAATAAATCTGTCAATCTGAAGCGGGTAGGCGCTGCTCCACGGCCGCAGCCAGCCGTTCCCCGCTGCAATGCCTTTCTCTTTTGGCAAGATGTAGAGCCAGCTGCGAAGCTTCGGGCGCCGAGTGCCCTGTGCCCCAGAGAACTGCAAGAACTCCCGCAACCTCCCGCCAGCGTCTGTTGGCTCCATCCGTCATGAGCGGGTGGTGGATGGACGCGGCCCTCCGAGTGAAGGGGCTCCGCGCCAGGCAAGTGAGCGTGGAGGTCTGGCTGCCCCTCTCCCGACTTCCCAGTACTCCGCCAAGATTGGGATGCAGCTCGTCGAGATCTCTATGGGACACAAAGTCCACATCCCAAGATATCCCCAGCGGCGCCGCTGCTCCATCACTCACATCTTGCAGGGACGCTGCTGTGTCCTGACCGCTTGGCGTTCTGCCTGGCGTTGATCCATTCTCCGCGCCCCGTTCAAGTGAAGGCCGTCGCGGGCTGCAACCTCGTCTCCTCGTGGCTCGCTGTAAGCCAGCCTAAAACAGGGTACCTGGCCTCAAATACCATAGGTGACCTGTTGGAAAAATAGATGGCCCTGGCAAATTGAAGAAACCTCACTTAAACCAGTGCCATCTATGTTTAATCAAACTTCCCTAAAAAGGACACCTATGCACCATACACGCAGCATGCGGCAGAACATCTTCTCGGAGATTGCCTCCGAGAAGAGGGCCTTTCACTTAGCGCAAAGGCTTAGTGCAAAGGCCCCCTTACTACAAATACTCAGGTGTGAATTTGAATGCATCCCGCACCCTCAGCCGGACATGAGTTTGGTGAAAATCATGTCCAAAAAGAAACATTGCCACATCGTTGCTGTTGTTTTAAAACAAATGGCGACACGAAATCATTTTGCAGGTCTGATTCATTGAGTATCTCAGCCCAGCTGGAACACGCAGCTTGATGGACGCCAGAATTGGATTGACTTGTCAATTGTTCACCGCGTTGAGATGAGCCGGGCATGAAGTGACAATGTTGGTGGACACGCCACAGAATTAACCCGATCACAATACCTGCTGTTGATCTCAATCATCCTGCAGGCCTGAAATCGCCATAGAAGTACTCTGGTTCCCCCGTGAAGAAGGTAAGCCGCACCGGTCCTCGCGGAAAATGAACTAGAAGGAGCTGCCTCTTCAATGGAAACAACGGGCTGCTTCTGGAGTTTTGACTCGAACAGTTTTCTATCAAGACTTGCTCCTCTGTCAAGTCGAAGCAAGGCTCAAGGAAGGTTAGATTCCAGGAATTATCCATTCACTGGCCCCAGATTCTGCAAAGTTACATGCAGCATTGGCTACCGGCGGCAAGCTAGTCTTTGCAAGTCCAGCGTTTCTATGCAAAGACAAAGCTGGAAAAATGAACGACAAGGCCATCAAGTACGAAAACACGTGTCACGTGCCATCACGTCTGAACACGGAGCATAATGCCTTGACCGCTTTGGTTTGCCAACAACAACCGGGCATGTGTCAAAGAAATGCAAAACAACAACAGGTGGTCTTCCTATTTCGGGGCGAAAAAGGGGTTTCCTAGTATGGGGTTGCTCGCCGACATTCCCCCTCCCCCCCCAAAACAAAGAAGAAAAGACAAACGCAACATGCGCCTTTCCTGTTGGCTTCCGAGGACCTGAGTCAGAGGAACCCACAAATCTAGGGGTGACTTCCCCCATTCTTTCCAGGGATCCTTCTTTCTAGAACCCTGGGGAAATGGCTGGTTTTAAAAAAGAACGATGGCTGAAAAGAATAGGGAATCCACCGATAGAACAAAAGTATATTTCCTGAATGGGAACCACCTCGCCTCCGAACTCCGAACTCCGAACTCCGAAGCGCGCGACAAGCAGGGTGCCTCTTTTTGGGGGGACCTCGTTTCGGTTGGAAAAATGGAAGCTTCAAAGGAAAACCGCCCATTTCTTGGGGGTCCATAAAAAAAGGGACACACTGGCTCAAAAAAAGGGGTCCAAAGTGGAACCCTGGTAAATGGAAACATAGACTAAAACCTGCGTACCCCCTGTTGAATTTTGAGCCGCACCCGAATGGACAAGTTTTCCTCTTGGTTTCCTCTGCGAAAACCTGGGTCTAGGAGCAGTCCTTGAGCGTCGACAATGGGCTGAATGGCATCATCGAAGGACAAGCCGTGGACCGGCCTCCGGACTCCAAGTTCGTTGTGAGCAGCAAGGATTGTCAAAATGAAGGGAACTCCCGCCCAAAAACAGGTCAACTTCAAAGGGACACCCAGAGCGCACCCGTCAAAGTAGAAAAGGTTGGATTAGAGGGACACCCAGAGGGCACACCATTTTCAGGGGGTTCAAAATGGATGGTTTTCCTTTCGCCCAGTGGTGGAAACCCTCCCTTAAAGCCAAGAGCGTACCAAGCCTCAAAACAAGGCATGCTTAAGACGAGGAACATGTCAATCAAACGAGCAACAGCTTCTGCACCGGCAAGCCCAACATGTCATGTGAATCAGAAGCGTCAAACTATCGAACCAACTGAAATGAAGCTGCACCTCCACTAGAGATGACTA